CTAAATCAGTCAATGACGCCGGTCTGGGGTGCGCCCTCCCAAACTCACGGTCCTATCACCCAACATTGTATGCAGGCCATGTTTGAGCTGGTGCACACTAGAAGCTGGGGGAACAAGCCCACCACATACCGTCTATACGAGTCTATACATTGCTAGATCTTGCCAGTCCAACAAGGGAACCCAAGGTACTACCTTAGGCCATTCCTTGCATCAGGTCAAACCTTCCTGCCTGCGAGAATAGAACACCCGACCGTCTTGGGATGGCCTTTGGCCGATCTAAGCGACGAATGGGCCGCTTTGGCCGAGAGCCTTTGCCCCCATCCTTTGACGACTTCCAGGCGCCCCCATGGTCTGCTGGCTACTGACTTCTCAAGAAGACCGTCTGCTTCTTGTCTAGTCATAGTCGGGAAACAAGAAAAACAGGGTGCAAATCGGAATAATTAGTTCAATCGATGTTGACTCCCAGCTCAGCATGACTCATAACATGCAAAGGCAAAACAATGTCGACCAGGGATATGAACTTTTCGGTGAACTCGGCCAAGTTTCGGTTGCAACCATCACCTCTTTGGGGAGCCCTTCCAAAAGGACTTCCATTCGGACATGTCCAACGATTCTCACTCCTGCAAACGTCTGTAGGATCGGGCTCAAATTAAACTGGCAAATCCGTGAGCAAAACACCCCGACTGGCCCCTAAACCCTAATTATCCTATTTCCCGCGTTGCCAATGATCCGTGCAGGCAATAAGCAAACCAAGCTCCCGCTGGTACTCCAAATGTATGCATGCTTGTATGTATGTATGTATGTACGTTTGTATGCATGTATGTATGCATGTATGTATGTATATATGTAGGTATATAGGTAGGTAGGTAGGTAGGTAGGTAGGTAGGTAGGTAGGTAGGTAGGTAGGTAGGTAGGTAGGTAGGTAGGTAGGTAGGTAGGTAGGTAGGTAGGTAGGCTCCAATCTCAGAATTCGGGCTTCATGGTAGCACCCATTCCCAGAATAGATTGAGTGACAAAATCAAACACCAAACATCTGATCCTGCCCCCACCACAACTGAAGTGCTGGCACATCAGGCAGGATATTGCAATGGACCGAAATAAACACTCAAACAAAAACAAAACACGTTTCAGCGACGGTGGGGGTAGGATTGTATTGAGTTGTTTGGTCCAGTGGCTCATGGGAATGTTGGGCAACCTGGCAAATGTTGCGCAACATTTACAAATGAAGCTGAGAGTCCCGGACAACATGCGCAGAACTTTCCCAGAGGCTATTCTTTTCACATAGAAATATCATAGAAACATGTATTGTTCGACCTAGACTAGAGGTGCCCAGTTTGACACGCATGCTCGACGGGGAAAACAAAATAATAACATGCACCGAGCTGTTTGACCTTGTTTGAGGGGAGGATCGCTGATCTGTGCATGTTTGCCAAGGAGCAGATCCATGCCAACTGAAATATTTCCTGTTGTTGACTTGGCTAAGTTCGGGCTTAGTTTTATAACAGCAAATGGAATCCCCTAAGGACAATTACGGTTTTGAAAGCTTATTTCAGTTTCAACCAGCCACGTCAATGGTTGCTCTCTCCATTTGTGCTGTCTTCGGAATGCATATGGGAGATGCTGGGTTGAACTGAAAACGGCATGTTAAATTGAATACTATTCTCATATTTGATGTTCAATAGATGATTGCATCTAAATGTTAACTCAAATTAGATAAACAACGCATAATTTCGAAAGCATACACTTTTCAATTGTTGTTTAATAGAGTTGAACTACAATGTAGTTGGAATCATGTATATCGAATGTACCTGGAACCGCACAAGGATGGATCACCTTCAAACATCAACCTGGATGCAACACGATAATGGAAACAATATAGCAAAGCAGGCACAGGCACGGCTGCCAAAGGGTACTTTGCGTACTACTCTCTTGAAAAGCTACGTTTATGAGTTGGAGTTGCCAATGCGAATGTAAGTTTGGTAGGTTTGGGGAGGGAGGTAGCATTTGTTTACATATGTACTGTCGTTTATTGCATACACCTGTTTGTAATCGTAGATTTTCCCGCCCCCCCCCCCTCCTTCCCAATGGAGCTGCGCCCCGGCCAAAACTACTGGACTTTGACCCTTCAAGATGAGAGCTCCAGCGACAAAAGCACGTTTGAAGTTGTGGAGCAAGCTACTAGTTTTTGGGGCTGGATCCAGACAACTGCTCAGGGAGTCTTGGATCCTAGCCACCTCCCAACCACAGAGAAGCGAGACTTGTGTTGCTTACAGTGTTAAAGCTTCTTGGGGCTGGATGCAAGATCAAAGACTTGGCTCGACCGTGAGCGAGCCAAAGCAACTATGTCGAGTTGTATGAGCTTCCTGATGGTTCATCCAACTTGCTCTACAGCGAACACTCTGACAGAATTATAGATGCCAAGCCACCAATCAAGTCACCAAGGATAAGGTCGCTCGTGCATGTCCACGAAGACAACCCCGGGAGCTGCTTGATGATCCAACTCAAAACGCTTGCCAGACAGCAGAGATAGAATGGGCTCGCCTGGATGCTAATCCATAGCAGGGATATGCTGCCCTCCACTGCGGAGCAAGCCGGCGATCCGACATGCATACACTGGAATGGTGCCAACAATTCCTCAGAAACACACAAACAAACAAACAAAAACAAACAAACAAACAAACAAGCAAGCAAACAGGAATCAACAAATGCAAACACGCGTGTCAGTAGTATCGCCTATGGAAGCACACAAAACAAAGGTCCAGCGTTATGTGCAACACTGCCACATCTCGCCTCGCAAGCCAAGCGCTTGCGGGGAGCCTGCCGGCTTTTCGCATGGGCATGCTCCGCAGGGTCAAAAACTCACAATGCTCCGCTAAAAGACACGTGACAGCTCTGTGACGTTGCAGCTGCATGACACAGCTGATGGTCGGCATGCGACATCTAGACTTGGATGTGTTTGGGCGCGTTTTCCGTCAGTGCACGAATAGCAACCGCCCCACCCCCGAAATTCATGCTTTGCCCTTTTGCCTCCCAGATTCCCACCGATACAAACGCTACACAAGTAAAGGGCGGCCAACAAGGCTCTCCCAGAAACCCTACCAAATCAGTTTTTGGGCCTCCCCACCAACTCCCCCTCCCCCCCGCGCCCCAATCCGAGGCCCCCCTCCGCCCCACCCAAAGCCAAAAGACCTGCCAGAAAAGGGGCAACTCTTCAAGTGAGGAAAGGGCCGAAGAGGTTCTCCAGGTTCGTGTTTCCGGGAAGGGGCCAGAAGGGGCTCCACAATTAATCCAACAATATCAATTTTGGGGCTTTTGTCAACGTGGAGGGGGGGGGGCCTTTACTAACCAGGGGCGACCATTCGGGAATAAAGAGGGGACCAAACATTTTGCTGCCACACTGAACCCTTGCGGCATGGAAAGACTTGACCATCAACCGCGTGGGCCTGTTCGACGCACTTTCAAAGGGAGCCTGCGCATTGGTGGCTCGCTGCTTTGACGCTGGGATTGCAAAAAAAATGCAATCCGCAATCCTGTACAACGCCCGTGTTGTGGCAAACGGGTGTCTCGAACGTGTGACACGAGATGTCGAGCTGTACTGGCACCAGCGCAAAGAACGCCTCCAGCGCTCAAGATGCCGGCTGGTCCGCCTAAAATGTTTGGCCGTTCAATTTCAGTATGGTACAAGGAACCCCCTCCTGGCTTCTCAGGAGGTGATAGCCAGGAAACTCGGAGGAGAGCTCCGGGGTACCAAGCAGGTCGGTCTGCCAAAAGTTATTTCCTTCAATTTTCGGGTGCAAGAAGTAACTGAGCAACTGACATGCATTTGCGACCTGATGCAGGCACGGCGATCTCACCATGTAAACTTGTTCCATAATTTTTGCATCGGAAGCTCACCAGGGATGTTCCACTGGAAAGCATACGAGCGGCAATCGCCTTCCAGCAGACCGATTTTTTGCAAATGATCCCAGGAATACAGGCCTGGACTGATGACTCGTCGTTCCCAACTGCGCCTTCCAAAAGCCATCAACTCCCACTGTGGTTGAGTCGAAGGGTAGGTTCTTTTGCGGAGGCCAACCATCTCCGCTCTAAGCGCAACAGTATGTCAAGAGCTTGGTGGAATGCGCCCGCACTTGGCTGCCTTTGGATTCAAGAGCCGCACACCCGTGGTCGTCAGGTTGCGGAACCAACAAACAAAAACACGGGTTGATGACCAATATTCACACAAGCAAGCAATAGATCGGTTGATCACGGTGCAACCAAAAGCTGGCTGAGCGTGTTTGAGCCGTGTTTGCAGCTTAATTGGCAAGGGGGAGACTCCGCAAAAACAAAGCGCAGGTGAATTCGCTTCATATCGATCCATCACATGAACAATTCGCTGACCACAGGAACCGCACTTTCTGGGCAAGCTAGGTGTAACCCGAAGATGGGCCTGGTTTGAGTCCTCCTTAAGGGTCCCAACGGACGCTGGAGGGAGAGTCGCAGACTTCTAAAATTTCATTTGGGCCTGGGGCTCGGCTAGAGTCCTGCCAGGGCAAGCAAAATGTCGCGGGAGCGCTTTTAAAGCAGCCAGCAGATGGTGGTACTCTGGGAAAAACGCAAGGAATGTCGGGCTTCAAGCATAGGCCGTCGAAACAGCTTCAACGCAAGCTACTTTTGAAGAATGGGTCCTCCATTACTAGCGGAGAATGAAGGGTTCACCGTGATTGTGGGAAGCTGGCAAGTCGAGCAACGTTACTTTGATCGGAAGTTCCACGGGGGAAGAAAAAAACTGGCGTCCGCAACAACGGAAGCTGGTGAACAAGCAGTGTCTCACATGGGTTGCCTATTTGAAGGGCCTTTTTCGGGCACTCGCCACCTAGTTCCCCGTTTGGATACAAAGCAACGGTGCTGTGAACACCTGCTGGCCGATTGCGCATCGAAGATACCAACGCTCCATTGCACGGATCGGTGCGCATATCTTGGAAGTGCGCCTCCAAAGAACCGTGCGCCAAGGACACAGCTCAGAACAGGCCAAACCTCGGGACCGGCCATTCCGCAACCGGGTCAACCCCAACACCAATCCAAGCCATGGGGAGTCGGGGTGTCAGTGTTAGGTCATCAGATTGACGCGGGGATATTCAATACTCTAGCCTCTTGCATTGGCGAACACCCAAAGCAATTCCGGGTGAGGTGAGCTGGTCTCTTTCTCCCTAGCGTGAGTTGCTTGTGGTCTGGAAAAGACCATGTGCGGATCTGTTGGCTGACATCACAACTGAAGCTACCTTAATTGGAGTGTCTTGAAAAACAACTTTTGCGAAGTCACAACAAAAACCTTGCAACTTGAGCCTGGCGTTCGGAGCGTCCCAATGGTCGTCAGTTAGCACTGCTGCCCTTGTTGTTACCATATCTTGAAATGATTGCAGGCGCCGGATCTTTGTCAGGGACTTTTGACTAGAGACTTGCATTTAGCCGGTGGAACCTAAAAGTAGAAGTCCAACCAAGTAAGGACGAGCTGCCGAAGCGACGAAAGGACACCTAGAGAAAGGCGAGTTACGGCAACATACTTCATCAATGCCGATGTTCCTGACTGGAACTCATCGCAACATAAATATAGTTAGCCCTTTTTCCGACAACGATGGTGGCATATCGTGGTGCACAGGGTGTGGGACTACATTCACCTTAAGGCCTGCACGGCAAAGGTACAAAGGCGTTGGGATCCGCCCTTGCGCTGACTTCGAAGGATTCCCGTTGGTGGAGTAGTGCCCATTGGCAATATGTTGTATGGGGCACACTTACAAACTGCCCCTAGTGTTAAATAATGTTTTCTGCTCAACGCAGAGTAAGGAACCCCTACAAGAAAAACAAAGCTATCATTGGATCGTTGACCGAAAAAAAACGATCCCAAACAATAAATTGCCATGGATCACATCGCGTGACATCGGGTCATTCTTTATGAGCCAAAAAATGGAACTGCAACGTAGGGGCGCGAAGCACGTGAAGCAACCTGAGAGGTGGTCCGATCACATCGGGCAGCAACTCAGGCTCCCACATCCGACTCTTTGCTCTGGGAATTTTCTCCAACCGCTCAACGCAGTCTTGCGCTGATGGCCTCGCGACCATCCAGCCACACAACCAAAATGTAGGGTCTTGAGCAAACATCATACCTAGCGCCAACATGCGCCAACTTGAACAACCCTCCACCTTTTGAATACGGCGACCCGCAAGATATACCCGAACCCTAGAACATGCTACAAGATTGGGTGGAATAGCTAACAAATAACCTTTCTGAATTGCGACCTTGAAGGGTGGCGGGAAGGGCTTGGAGATATCATTCAGTTCATGCAGAAACAACCCTGACATTGTACGTCGACTGGTTTTGGTTGCTACCTCGGCGCTTTTGGCCTAACGTGGTGTAACTCTTGTCTGCAGGTCGATGCACGACCAACATAAAACCTTCATGACAAGCACGGATCGAGCAAGCTATCAAACAGCGCCACACCAAACATTCAACATCTCAACATACGGCGCCTGAAGTTGAAGATGAAGCGGGATAGAACCGATGCTCACAACTTCAGGTCGCCCTTGTTTTCAGGCGATCAGCAGATGAGCGCGTTCTGCCCAGCAATGATACAATGTGGGCGCGCAAACAGCTACGAAAGCAGCGCCAGGCAAATGCTCCGCTCGCTGAGGAAAAAATGGGGATGGGGCTCCTCCGGCGCGTTCTCTTCTTGACCGCTGCTGCTTCCAGCCATCCAGCTACACGAAGCGTATCACAAGGATGTGCTTGCTGTCTGACAGTCTTGACATCTGCGCTTGGCGAGTCCCACCATTGGCGGCTGCTGCCCCCCGTGTTGCTGTTCGTCGTGGCGCCAAGTCAAACAGCCAGCTGACCACCTGCAGCTGCCACTTTCACCCATGGCGAGGCATGAACGTCGTTTCTTGCCAGCTGCCCAGCTTGGCCCTGGAGTAAGAACAAAGATCAAAAGAAGCCGCGAAATCAAATAGCCCCTGGCCAGGGCCAAGGCAGCGCGCTCCTGCCATTGTCAGAATCAACTCAGTCATACGCTAGAAAAGACAGAGTCACAGGCGAGATACCCACCCTTGTTTGCTTGTCTGCCACGTACCGCCAGTTTGTTGCATTGCTGCTTTGCTTAGCTGGTTGGTTCTGTTTGTGTGTTTGGTTGCGCATCCTTTCGGTTCCGCAAGGCCTCTCCCCACAACCAAGCTAGTGATGCTTCATGATGGCGTCTACGCAACTAATGCGGTCCTGGGCTTCGGCACCATCATCGCTGGGATGGCTCACGGTCCGTTCGTGGAGACGAGCCAGCCACCACACTCGCAGGATGTGAGCCCGCAACCAGAAGGCACTTGCCTGGTCGCAATCCACCTGGATCGTCCACGGTGTGTCCTTCTTGTGTCTTCAGGCACTTTGCACTTTTTGTTCATCTTCTGGGACTTACCCGACCAAACAACGACATTCCCCGGTCGAACGGCGACTATCCCCGGCCAGGCTAGCCAAAATTGTAACGACGCTGTCGCAGTGAAAAAGTGTTTGTTCCAATCAAGGACATACAGTTGTGCTTGTTCGGCAATCGGTGTGAAAGATACGCACCCGGAAGCAGCAAGCAATGGAATGCATATGCGCCAGCCACATTCCACAAACCGAATGGGAACAAAGCCCCAAGAAACCTCGAATAAAAGCGCTCGCCACACTGTGTCTCACACACTGAAGATCCAGAGCAGGCAGCAACAGAGCAGGCAGCAACACAATCCGAAGATCTCGCCTGCACCTAAGAAAAGGAAGCATCCACACCCACAGCCTGTAACGCACAGCCAAGCCAAATTGAGCAGCGCACACCCGTCCTTTAAGCTCACCAGTCCCAACTAAGTCCCGCGATCGACCCCTGCCTCTCGGAGGCTTTGACAGCCCAGGCCTGCGACGGCCCCGAAACACGAGAAAAACAATTGGAACAAAAGGCCAAAAAACGCTAGCATGGTAGACCTTTGATCCCCTCGGCACCTTCCGCTGCTTTCCTTTCATCTCGTGATGGAAAGCATCTGCCCCGGTGATGTCGGACAAAGCATATATATATAAATAAATATGGGCCTGTGTCTGTACGCATTCCGTCATGCTGACGCAGTCAGCAATGACTTATCTCTTTTATGGCTTGGGCTTGGGCATCATGTCGAAGATATGCGTGAACTATCCATCACTCTCTTCGCGCCTCATTGTTTGGACGCATACAAATACAGAAGGCAATACACTACCCAACAGAAGTTCCCAAACAGTCTCAGAGGGCAAATTGCGACAGCATGTCACCGCAAGTGCAGCCAGCTGACTGGCTTCTATGAGCTTGCTTGCTCATATCTGCTTGGGGCATCAATGCTCAGACTCGTGGGCTTCCCTTTTCGTCGATCAAGACATGAGTGGCAAACGCCTCCAAGGAATGGCCTTCAGGATTCTCAAACAAAAACATAACATGCATGGCTTCAACATCATTCAACCTGCAGCCTGTCCCAATGACACTCCCGATTTTACCTAATAGTGCAACGCCGAGCAATGCACAACAAGACCGTGAACGTCCAAATACCGTGACGCACGGTAACTTGCAGCGAGTCACTGCAAATAGCCAGCCTTTTTCAGTAAGGATAGTCTGCAAACAAGACACAGCCAAAGTCCTGTCATGTCAGTTCATGTCAATTCACCAACACAAGAAACCGAGTCAGACAGCACCGCGACACCATAGTCAGAGACCATGCGCATCGACAAAGCTTCCCATCCATCTCGGCCGAGGCACATCCTGCATGATCTGTCGAAGCCTGGTGTCTGATGCCGCGTTTCAGCCAATTTCTTCAAAGCAAGCCTGTACGGGTATCAGGTTTCAGGAGATGGTGACCGCACTTCTTAGCACTTGTCTTCCAAGACTCCTGGCATGAGAAAGCACGTCAGGCAAAAGACATGTTTTGAAGACATTGTGCTGCTCCGCCTGCGATGGGGAACGAATGAAAGGAACAATGCGTCTGAACCAAGGCTCGTGGCCACCGAAATGCAGATTCCATGGCTCAATGGATCTGATTCTGACTCTAAGCTCTCCAGAGCGTGTATATAAAGGCCGTTGAATGCATCATGACCTACTGTATAACATTGTCAGTGCTCCCCAAAGCACCAAACTATGCAAACACGTTGAAGCTTCTCTTGCTTGGGTGAATTCTTGCATTTGCCGCTTGATATATATATATACATATATATATATGCATATATGTATGTATATATATATATAAATAAATATGCATATATACATCTCGCCCTGGGGTCGTGGCTCCGCAGTGCCAATGGATGAGCTCATGGTGGGCCGCGGCTCCTCCCCCCGCAGGTACGCCTGGCAAAGCGGACTCGGTGACTCGGTGAATCGAGTGAGAATTGACATGTGCACTCCAGTCGGGGTGGGGTGTCTCTGGTAGGTGGTTTCACTTGAAGGCTGCTTTTGTGACCTTAACAGACAAAATACCTTGCAACTTTGTAACTGCAACCTTGTTGTTTTGTAACTTAAGGTAGGTGTGAAACTTGTCAACTTAAGGACTTTGGTCACACACGTGCATCTGGGTGAATCATAACGATGACAATTTGCCAATCTGAAATGAGAAAATAAGGATTGTTGAAAATAGAACCTCAGAGACTCAAACATCCGTAGTGAGGTTGCAATTTCATTTGGCGTCCGCAAATCTTTAGGGCCTAGTGGCCAACGAAGTTCCACTCGTGTAGGGGGGTAGCAATCCCCACTAGCAGGTTAAACAAGTGGAACTACAAGTCAACGTTTGCTATGGCACCTCTATGGGCCTGTGAAGCGGCACTCCCTGAACAAGCTCCCTATGGTCATGCGCCTTGGATACCCAAGTACAAAATCACAAAACACATGCAATGAGCGTTCTGCGCGTCTTGAATACGCCTCTCTGCTTTGGAAAGCTGCTTCTAAAGTCCACGACGAGTGGGGTTTGTAGGGCTTCTCATGGGCGGGCTCTTTGACATACTCATGAAGACAAACCAGTATGCTTAGGAACACAGAAATGCAACTGTCTGCTGTCACAACCTAGTTGATGAGGAGTGACTTTGAAGAAATTCAACATTCATGACCGATCAAAGCACACAAATCCTTAGCTTAGGATTTGCAGGTACGGGTCCTGCTGAAACAAACCTGCAGGATCATGATTCATGCACATAAACACTCGAGTCAAGCATGCGAAGCTGCTCTTTGTCTTTCGCCAGGTCCCAACATTCAACCCGATCCTTTCCAGTCCTGCCCAATATGGAAGGCATTGAAGGCATCGGCAGCGGCACGGCCCAGGTGTCGGGTCGGGACCAATGAGATTGTTCTATTCTGCACATTTTTTGGACGAGTAAATAAGCCAGCTTGGTGTGAGCGTCGGGACGCAAACAGGAGGTCCGGTTGGTTCAGGGTCAGAGATCCCAAAGCAAGGAGGTACTTTGACTCTCCCGTTTTGTCCGTCAAAAACCACAGGGTACTTCGACCCGGTGGAAACAATTCAAAGAACCGTGCCTTGAGCACCTCCTCTGGGTCATTGCCACCTCGGTTTTCGCAAGGGTTGTGACCAAGGCTCATTTCCAATCTGAAATACATGCAACAGTTGCAAACAACAACTGCTGACAAAATGTGGCATCTCCTCCATGATTTTCATAAGCAGTATGCCAATCATCAACTCACTCATCTCTCTTGTTTGCATGCCATGAAGCCGTTTATTAACAATCTTCATTGCCCGAGCGATGGTTAGGGGCTATCGTGTTTACCGTATTCACATTCTTGTGGCAGTCGAGCTCGAATCATCACAGCAGTTCAGTACAAGTGGAAAGTGCGATGTGCACATCAGCGTGACAACTCAAACATCGCAGCGTGGAAGTGGTGAACTAGTGGTGACCAGTGGGAGTGAGGGCGCTTGCCTAAACAGTATTTGCAACTTTGGTCCTATTTCGGCCAAGAAGCGCCGGCCAATCTCAAGTCAAACTTTGCATGGCATAGCACCCTCCCAGCTTCAATCCCAACAGACTGCCCACAACCGCAAGCTGACACTAGTTAAGAAACGGAACTATTTGTCAAAATCGGGGACCTGCCCAAACTAGAGGTTTCCCCTTCGCTTTCTTTGAACGCCACCACAAAAAGGATCCCCATGTCAAAAGTCAAGGGGGAGGCAATCAAACACTTGGGTAGCCAGCCCGCCGGCTCTGAGGCGGCCACGGTAGTCGAAATAGGGCATCTTTCCTGATGGCGTCTCTGTGGGCAAGAGCTCTGCTAGTCCCATGCGGCAGGTATAAAACTGTCTATATACCTGTCTACATTCATACATGGATGTATATGTACATACATATGTATATATATACATATTATGCATATACATGTTTACAAATACACAAGCAGCAGGTACACATGCAGGTACATGTGCATAGACATATGCATGAATACATAACATATTGTATATAGATGATGCGTGCCTTCCCTGGGTATCCACAACCTCGATGTTGCTGCTGTCTATGTGTGTGTGTACTTGCGTGCGGTGCGGTGCGGTGCGGTGCGGTGCGGTGCGGTGCGGTGCGGTGCGGTGCGGTGCGGTGCGGTGCGGTGCGGTGCGGTGCGGTGCGGTGCGGTGCGGTGCGGTGCGGTGCGGTGCGGTGCGGTGCGGTGCGGCGCGGCGCGGCGCGGCGCGGCGCGGCGCGGCGGGCGCGGCGCGCGCGGCGCGGCGCGGCGCGGCGCGGTGCGCGGCGGCGCGCGCGCGGCGCGCGCGGCGCGGGCGGCGCGGCGTCGGGCGCGGCGCGGCGCGGCGCGGCGCGGCGCGGCGCGGCGCGGCGCGGCGCGGCGCGGCGCGGCGCGGCGCGGCGCGGCGCGGCGCGGCGCGGCGCGGCGCGGCGGCGGCGCGGCGCGGCGCGGCGCGGCGCGGCGCGCGCGGCGCGGCGCGGCGCGGCGGCGGGCGCGGCGCGGCGCGGCGCGGCGCGGGGCGCCCGGCGCGGGCCGGCGGGGCGGGGCGGGGGGGGTGGGCGGTGCGGTGCGGTGCGGTGCGGTGCGGTGCGGTGCGGTGCGGTGCGGTGCGGTGCGGTGCGGTGCGGTGCGGTGCGGAGCGGTGCGGTGCGGTGCGGTGCGGTGCGGTGCGGTGCGGTGCGGTGCGGTGCGGTGCGGTGCGG